AATTGCTGAGAGTTGAATAGAATACGAAACATACGTGAAAATATGTGTGTCCCAGTTCCAATTACAACGGGTTTACTAGGCCCCTCATAAGTTACAAGGTTTACACAAATCTGGATATTTAATACAGTGTGAGCCAGTAACTAATAAAAGCATTCAAATTAAACAAAGCGGAATAAAACGAAACTAAATTGTCACTTAATAAATTGTTAAATAGGTAAGTGATTGGAACAAAAAATACTATTCGCCCAACGACCAATCTCCGGCACATCTGACAATCAATTTAATTCGATTGCAAAGCGGGATTAATCTTTTTACAAAGTTATTTATTAAAATAGAGAAATGTGAAATATCGTTGTTTGATTACTATAAGAAGTATGAGTTGAATAAACCGTAATTATTTTTCAAAATTTGATTTAAAAAATTAGTTTTATTGACGTGAATATATCTCAGTTGGACTGTTTATTTTATTAATTCTGACTGACTGTTAAATATAGGTACAATAAATTCTATTCAACATTAATTTTTAAAATTGAGTAGCTTTCTGGGGGGAAATAATATTCAAAATAGATTCATATACCCATAGAAAAGGGAAGACAAACACACATTTTTACGTCTTGTTAACTGTCATATTAATTGTTTTTGTGTCAAACAAAACGATTCGTTATACGTAAATGCACTGAAATCCATAGAATATTTTTTTAAACGTAGGTATATACAGGCATAATACTCACCTGTTGTCCAGATTTATGTCCAGGTCGGGTGATCTAAAACCATGTTAATGTAAAATATGTTCGCGTTTAAAATTTTGTCCGTTAAAATATTTAGAGATAGTTAGAGTATTTTATTTTAAAATACTCGCAGTAACCAAAGACATTATTATATATTCTAATTAATAAATTTCCCTAACTTGCAAAAACTTCTAAGTATGAGGAAGTTTAAAAGAAAAAGTAGTGAAACGTCTGCGCTACACGTTTTCAAGTGAGTCAAAGATGAAGTTAAGAAATTGTCAGTATGCAAAATTGTACAAAACTTCGCGATAGCTTTTCAAATAAATAGGTAGCGTGTTAATATTTTGCTCTATAAGAAACTGCATGTGGCGAGTGAGTCGAAGATCTTTTATAAGTTAATTCCTGTCTCATGCACAATCCGTAAACTTTGAAGAGCTACCTTGCGTGCATCGACGCCTGTCGTGAATGAGAGCACTTCTGTATTTTTATTAAGATTTGTATTCATTTCAGATAATTATTTGACATTTTCTTTCGATTCACATTTTTTAATTAACTCTGATGTTTTGTTTCCATGAAAAGATAGCTGAATACGAATGTAGTTTCACAATTCGTTCTAATATTCTATTTACGAAATCACGTAATTGGTAATGTTTGACAGGTGTGAATATTTTATATTAAAGTATCGACTCCGTGCACGTGACTTGGTTTATCGTGTTGGTCATTTCAATACGAGTAGTTTTTCAGAAAAAAGAATGAAAGTAATGCGGACGCAATTAAACCCAAATTTTTATTTTATTACTTCGATTAAATCGCTTTATTTATCAATTGAAGTTCCTTAAAACTAAAACCTCTAATTTGAAGTAGAATTCCAGCTTTTTTTAAGTTGTTCCAAAAGAATGTGTTGTTAAAGTAAATCTTTATAAAAAATATTTAATCAAAGATGTCTCACAAAAGCAACGTGCCTTCCGGGTATCATTAACGGGTATACGCGTGCATTTGTAAGTTCATTCGTTTGAATTCTTATTAACTTTCCCGTGAAACTCAATACGGTGTATCGGAGAAATGAGATAAGAACAAACAATTTGCTTTATCTCGCTGATCACTTATTGTTCCTGTGTATAAACTTGTAGCTAAATGAAGACTTCTTAGTAAACAGACTGCGTATAATTTGGATAAAATTAAATGTTCATGTTTTTTGATTACTGAATTATTTAGTTCCACACTAAATAACAAGCTATCGCGTAAGATACCTTGCTAATACAACAAAATATACAATACACATATATGTATGATTGTGGATGCTGCCGGTACTTAAACTGGGGAAACCCGTTTCCGAACTACCCACAACTTTCCATTAGCTCGGTTGACACCACGTACAAGATATAGCCATTTAAACACACGAGACAATAGAATATAAACTAATTTTGAAACTATGCATATTTTTATAAGATAATACACGAGCATACCGGCAGCATACGAACCTATGGGACGCCCAAAAAGGGCAGTCAATGCAGCCCATGGACACCCATTTTAGTTAGTGCGTTGCCAGCCTTTGAGGGAGAAGTATTCTTTAAATAATTATTGGAGGTTTTCATAACAGCGGAAAATCCCCACTGGGAGCCGATTCCACAGTTCGCTACTATGCATGTAAAGTTAGTATTTTAAAATCACGTAGACCTATTATATTAATATACCTACTATACCAAATAAATTTGTAGTTTAGCACGTGAAAAGTCGTAATAATATAAGAATGGCGTCTTTCAAATGCATTTTCAATATGCTCTAAATTTAATGAAATACCTTTTGATTTTTAAAAATCTACCTCATTTACTCTTTCATCTTGTCCTAACATGTTAAACTGAATAAAGAAAAGTAACGGATTTTGAAAGAAAATTAAAGCTTTGATCTCCGTTTTAGAATAAGACATTTAGAAGCCTTCGACTTAGAATCCGCGTTAGTGTAGACAGAACGTAGAACAAACGAATTTTTATTCATTAACCCACAGAGTATATAAAGTTTCCGCAGAAAAGTGAATAGAAATTATGTATCAAATTTTGATACAGTTTCGTATAAAGAGATAACCATGATCAAAGGATTGCTTTCAAAGTGGTTTACCTGGCGAGCATATTTAAGTTTTCATGAAGTGGGGAAATGGAAAATAAATTGGATTTGAATGAGTTTCTTAAAGCTACATCAGGACGTGTTTACTTTGTTTCCCGCCAGGATTAGATACCATTATTATACAAACTCCTCGAGCTAATAAGAGACTAATGCATGTCTAGAATAAAAAGAGCGAGAGAGAACTGCTTCATTTTTCCTCATTGCGTTTTAAATTAAATTGTAAGGACCGAACGAGTGTATCTATAGTAAACAATTTTTCATTTTAAAAGCGATGAAATAATTACACTTATTTTTGTAAAGAATAAAAAAATATATCAGTGGCACTACAACCTCTTTAGGTCTAGGCCTCAGATTTCATGATCATTTTTCAATCTAATAGGCAAGTAGGTGATCAACCTTCAGTGCCTGACACACGACGTCGACTTTTTGGGTCTAAGACATGTCGATTTCCTCACGATGCTTTCCTTCGCCGTTCGAGCGAATGTTAAATGCGCACATATAAATAAAGTCCATTGGTGCACAGCCGGGGATCGAACCTACGACCTCAGGGATGACAGTCGCACGCTGAAGCCACTAGGCCAACAACTATGTAAAGAATAAAAATAATATTTATAACATCGTTGCATAAAAATGTTTAATATAATAATGATAGCGATTTCGAACATAAAAACTTTTAAATTTTAAACCATGTCTTTTGAGTTTTTAAAAATCTAAAATTATCTTAACACTTAAATATTTTTATATATTATAACCGTTAATTAGAAAAAGAATTATATTGTTGACCAAGTAACACAAGTGATAAGCATAAACATTAAATTGCTTTTTGAGCTTCATATTACGTTACTAATAAACAATATATTTGATATAAATTAAAAGTTATTTACGAACCTATATAATACATTATAGAATGTGAAAAAAAATTATTAACTTCGTAACATTTCAAAACTTTCCTAAGCCAACACTATACGAAAGTAAATAGAGTCCAAAAGGTAATCCGAGACCTACTTAATACACTTTTAACGGCAACTAAGTATTTAATGCATGATACAATGAGAAACACATTAACACATCAACTTCACTCAGTCGAGAAGTTTCAAACATTTTCGCAAACTTTTCTATATGCGAAACGCTATTGAAAGCTCCTAGCAGAGATTAACACGGTTCTGATAATAGCCGTTTGAGAATTACTCGTGGAAGTGTGAAGTTCATATTAATGGACCACCCTACGCGGAATTCCGTTGTTCCATCCATCTTTTAATTTTGTACGATGTTTTGTATCTTTTTTATCTGTAATTGTCTGGCTGCTGGTTTTAAAAGTAGCAATAAGAAGTATTTAAATTCTCTTGGATGTACTGTGAAAAATAAAGGTGTATTATCATTTAGCTGGTCCCCGTCGTCCGAGTCCTTTTATTACGCTTGTTCAAAATTGATCAGTTAAAATTATAAATTATGTTAAAATAAACAACTAAGTAAGTAAACTTTTCGATTTACTTATAACACACCTAGGCCTATGTTCCTAAGGACACGACAATGTCATTAGAAATTAGTGTTGCGCCGAGCGACGCATATATTATTTTTCGAAAACCTAATTGTTGGTTTGGTAGTTAATTGTCACAAAATGTTTGTCTGCCTTTTTTTCTGATTTATTATATTGTGTTTGTACATAATTTAATTTAATTTAAACAAGTTAACTTTCTGTATTTTTTTCTTATCTTTCTTATTTTTCTCTGATTAATTATATGTACCTATGAAGATGACAGATACACCGTGATGAAAATACAATAAAAAGATTAATATAGTTGACTCTTATATCTATACATATATCTAGTAACTAGTTTTTAATTAATAAAAGTAAAAAGTGCAATTTTAAATTTCGAATAGAATATTTGATATTGACCATCAATCAACCAGCTGTGAACGCAGGCACGCATTGTTTCCGCAGCTAACTAGATCTTTAAGCGCAGTTTGGACGTCGGTTTGATCATGTTTACTCGATGCTCACTAGTTAGAGTCAATTGTGAATAGCTTCTTTGTGTTTCAGGATCACAACTTGCTAACTAGCTGCCAGTGACTGATGCCTAACTACGTAACCGCGACAAAAGTACGACCCAATTAACACTTGGGAACAAAAAGCGAATGTTTGCGTAAATTCTAATGAAAGTATTTAAACAATGGAGTGTGCTGTACGAACCTCGAATTATTATTAAAATTTGATGAAAAGCGTCTGGGTATTGTTCGTAAATAAGGTAGGTTTGGTGGAAAGAGCGTTTTTGGGTAGTTATTAATAATTGGCAATTGGTCCACATATGGGTTTGCATGTGTGTGATGCTGCATTGGATATCTAACTGGATTAATCGTCTTCGAGCAACATTTTGGTGTGGGCAAATTCAATGCATTACCCGACCGCTCATTTGCTGAATTGTCCCTACGTGTAAGAATTCCCTGAGTTCTATTTAGTTGCTCTTGTATTTTTTTCAATTCCTCTAATTCGTTGTAGAGATTTTTTATCTCTTGAAACAGTCGTGAAAATTTGTATCTTTCCTTTTCATTGTGGCTTGTGATTTTTTTTTCTAGTTCTTCAATTGTACTTTTGAAGTTGTTATTACTTTCACTTTCTTCATAAACAATTTGATCTACAACAAATTCTGGTAAAATACTTCCTCGACTGAGAGGTGTTTTTGTATTTGAAATGTGACTCATTCCTTCGGCTTGCAATGCTGCTTTAGGCTCAGCTTGTTTTTCTAAGTTTTGTAATGAGTCTATTTTTTTTATAGACCTATTATGTTCGCCCCTTCTAAAATTAGGCAGGTCACTATCATATGTATCATCATAAACAAAGTCAGGAGATTCATTATCTTCCCTTACATTCTCGACATTACTCGATTGTCTTTTAAATATTTTAGGTTCTGTAACTGTTTTAAAATAAATAATTTTCGTACTGTTTCCCAGAGTATTTGTTGTCGTCGATTTTATACTTTCATTATTATTATCTGAGGCTAATTGCTCAAGTAAAGTCTCTATATCAGAATTTTTCATATTTTTTTGAAAGGTAGTTGAAATTTTACATGACATTACCACTAAGCCTGCAAATAATTACTCATTAAATACTTAGAATATATTGTACATAAATAATAATAAATCACTTACAAAAATAAAGATTCATTTTACCGTCCGTCACTTCTAACACAAGGTAATTGAATTCCGATTGGGCATTCGATTTAATGTCGATATCTCGACTGGAGCTCCAGAGCAATTTAATTAAGTTACCATAATTGACCATAACTCCTTTAACTATCGTATCACGGCAAAACAAAGCCGAGCGTGGTTTAATTCGTGGCGAAAATTTGAAACGCATCATTAACATTAGCTTTGTGCGTGACAGTTTAGTGATTAATGATTCTTAAATAAATCATAATATACAGGTGATTATTCACTCGTGATATTCAAAACTCAAAACTCCGTTACGCAGCATCAAAAACAGAGAAAAAATTAGATAAGTTCTCCGGAGATTTTAAAATGTAACTAAAACATTTTACGTTATTTAAAATGTTTTTGAATAGAATCTAAATAAAACCATTTATAATTAAGCACTAGAGTAAAGCACTCGGCTGAAATATTATTTGTAGAAAAACATGTAATTCAGCCATCTAATTGGCACGGTGACATTTTTACAAGTAACTGTGAACCAAAAAGGCAATCTTGGTTATCGTTGGCCGGCACCGAGCAGTATCAAGTAAACACCCGGCTTCGTCCTGCATTTCAATCGACTCTATTTGTATTTTATTGGAGAAGACTCGAGTCGAGGCCAACCAAACGGCGCGGGCCAAAGCTTTATGTTTTATTGAGTTCTTTTTATGAGCTCAATAATACAGACCGATATTAACAGAAACGGCAGCTTTTAATTAGCTTTTTCATTAAATTTTTCATGTTCACAATTTACATAAATGTGGTGCAGTTTTATATTATGTAGTAAAATATCAATGTGTGTTCCTCCATTCGGCTTAAATAATTTTGAATCGTTTCTGAATATTGTTCCACAGTTTTTCATGAACATAATTTAAATGAAAGCCCACAAGCAAAAGCCCCTATGAGACCTTAAATAAGTTTATTTAAATCATAATCCTTTGATTTATTAATAAACTTATGTAAGTGCAAGTTCTCTTTCAATCCGTCTTGCAAATAACCTGTCGAGTCGAGTAATTATAACATACCGGCACTTATATGTTTTCAGAAAATTTTATAAGAAGTAATTAAAGCTAAATAAAGCGACGTGGGTGACTAAGTTACCTGCCTATTTGAGAATATACCTAGTATATTAGGCACCCATTTACAGATTTAGCGTTGAGATTAAAGTTTTAATTCTAAGCTATTTTGTACTAAGTAATGTTTTTTTATAAAACAAATATAGAAACCTTAAAATCGTGAACAGTCATATTTATAGATATTTTTTCAATCTCATTACTGAAATCTGCGGCTAGACGCGACCTTTGACTCCCGTATATCAATATGTTTTGAATATACTTAGTGCCAGTCTCGACCCCGTAACACTAGGTAATCTAATAAAAAGGCTAAAAAAATCAGATCCATATTTAAAATGTAGAAAAAATGTATGTGTAAAACATCGTTAGTGTACCATTATGATCGGTTTTGTTGACAGATGGCTATTTGTCCAAACGCAACTGTTGGAATAATTGAGGTGTACATTTTCACTTTGTTCCGTTTCCATTCGATTAAAATCGTTGTACCTCACTTGTACACAACCTATTCGGCGTTTACTAAACGATTTGAACAGTTCGACGATTTGTTCAGCCAAGCGCGCGTATTTTTTTGCATGCGCTTATGAAATTATATCGGCATAGATGTTGCGATTCCAATATTCAATGTGAAAATTGATTTTTAGATATTTCAAAGCTTTAACAATCTGTTTTGTAAAACTTGTTAACGATACGTTATTATAATAATGGTTTAAATGTTTTTTTATGTTTTATTCAATAACGTTTATGAAGTGTTGAATGTAAAAGATAATTTTATTATTTGATAGCTAAACAAGGCTGTTCTACGTCGTGAGTGGATAATGCCGGGTAACGGGTACCGTCTGGGCCATAATGATTCAATACACTCATACTCGAATAATTTTGTAGCTTTAATTACAAAACATTATGCGGTTAAAGCAGGCTTTTAATTTCGAACGGCTATTATAATGGTTAGTTACAGGGTAGTTTTAAATATATTGGCTACGGGGTCTCGCGAGTCGTCTCAGTACATTTTACGGTCGTCTAATAAATTTTTTATCGTGTAACAGTAAAGAAGCAATCAGTCTGTCGGATATTGGCCTGCAGGGTTCGTAAACACGTGCATTTTTATGTTCGCTAACGTTTATCCGGACTCTGATTGTACAGCTTACAGATTATTCTAGAATGAAGTGTGAGGACGTGATTTTTATATTAAATAGACATTAGTGTGGAGAGCGTGAGGAATATTTTCATTCATTTTTATACAGTATACGCGATATTGGAAGCAAAATATGATTGAATAATCTCATTACCACTAATTTAAGATAATGTGTGTATCTCCTGTTTGAAATATAGAAAAACTTATGAATTTCTTTATTTATTTAGCTTGATAACCTTCTTACCTATTAGAAATGATTACCGAACATATATAGAAATCTGAGGCCCAGACTTAAAAAAGTTGTAACGCAATTGATATTATTATGAAAATTTAACACAAAAAGGCATCTTTCATGTAGAGTCAGGATTATCATCTAAGAAGTTTTACGAAACAGAATGTGGTAGGTTTTATAATCGGGATCAAGCCGACTTCAGAAATAAATAAAGTTCTTTTATTTCCCGAGAATATTGCCCTTGCCAAAGCGCGACCCTACCAGGCGCGCATAGCCTTGTAGTAGGTAAATAGTAAATAGTCCTTGAGTTGCAATGCGGTATGAATTGCTGGTTATGCAATCTGCGTAGCTGGACAGATCCCGTGGACGGCGGCCTGATCACGCACACCGCGTTTCGTTTGTTGAGGATTTACCGACCTATACTAATATGTTTGTCTTCCTCGGCTATCTAAACAAGGCGATACACTGGATTGAGATGTTTGTTTGCAAACTACTGCTAATAAAAAAGCCACATGTAAGGATTTGGGTTTCTTAGGAGCTTAAAAGTTAATGGACTTCATTCTATGCACTTGAATTTCGGAAATTTACAAGCATTTAGCATTTAATATGTAATTCTTTATTGACGTTCTTAAGTGTACATTGTGTTACCTAAATGAATAAATGATTTTGAATTTAAAAGGATTGAGTTGGTGAAACACTTTTAATTATGATTATTTTAATTAAACGCCCCGAAATAACCTATACTATGTTCGTACAACGCTAAACGAAGTCTTAGATGTAAGCTATATTTATTTGCAAAAATAAAAGTCTAGCTATATACGTATATATATACTAGTGGACCCCACAGACGTTGTCCTGCATGATATTTAAAGCGATTAGGATATTAAGCAAAGTATGAAAGTACCGACTGCAGTGCCATCTGCCGGGCTGATTTGTGAATCTAAACCATTCCCAGATCCCCTTGAACACACACACAAAATTTCATCAAAATCGGTCCAGTTGTTTGAGAGAAGTTCAGTGACATACACACTCACAGAAGAATTATATATATAAAGATATATATAGAATATACAATGTATATTCGTTGTCATTTCCTTGATAAAAAAAGTTATCTTTAAAATCTTTGACTTCAAATTGGTGTAAGATTTTCCAAGTTACAGTTTACTAAGTGACATAAATTGAGCTCCACTTCAATCTGTCCATGTCATGTTCAAGCTGTATCGACAGCGGAGACATTTTCGGATGTAACACGTTCTCAAATAGAGAAATATCAAGTGTGAGTTTCCTAACTTTTACATATTTATAACGAATTCTTTATTACGTAAACTAATCCTAAAGCATCCATGGCCTTTAACTTACTTAGTGGCACAGAGGTCCTCGGTTTGATTCAAATTGTGAACAGTAGTAAAAGTATGTCCCATTGTAAGAAATCTTCAAAAATGCATTTATGGAATGGATTGTCATTTATGAAATTTGTAGACCTAATAAAAAAAATAAGATTTAGAAAGTACCTATAGCTATTTTACAGACAAATCAATGTCCACTTTCTACAAGCCTATATATATAACACTTGAATTTCGAAATACTATCCACCACCTAATTGTTTCAATCAATAAACCCATTTTATTCAAACGAACAAAACAGAGTAAATTAAAGGAACAAAAATAAAAGCTCGGGCTAGTGAACGTGTATTAACAACGCAGTTAATCCAACTTCACACGAGTTCTAAAAACATCGAACAAAACAATAATCCAACTTATAATAGTGTGTTCGATGCAATTGGCAGCTAATTTCTTGCTCAAGCGGCGATCCATTGTGACTAATTTTATTCCTTTTCATCTTAAAAAGCTTTCTTGGTTCGACACACGTTCTACGATTTTTATAACGGCTAAATGTGAAGTAAACTATAATTATAATTTAAATAAAAATGAAATGGTTTTGATCGCAATCTTATTATCTTTCGCTGTCTGAAAGAAATGGAAATGTCGAGTTAATATATAAGTTTACGTTTAAGCCCGTTAAAAAAGTTTTGATTAAGATTAGCTTAATTATATTTTGTTAAACAGATTTATAATTAATTAACTAATTTAATAACAAAGGAAGGCTTTGAATATAATGTTAAAAAAATGCATCTAAGTACTTTAAAGATGTGTTATTTAAACCAATGGTAGTCTAAAATATATTCATTTTTTGTCTTTGATTTACGTGAATTATAAAAACTTATATACCTTGATATTTTTTTAATAATTTATGATTGTAGATTTACGTTTAAAGCCCGATCATCGAAATACTATTTAATCTAATACTATTTACTTATAAACATATTAGACTATGGAAATATTTCTCGAGAACAGTTCTGATATTAAAGTGAGATATATTCCGGCACCTAATCCCTGGGCTGGTCTGTCCGCAATGCAATAAAACTTGCCGTTATGTCATAATATTCACATGTGATAAACTCGGGATATGACGTTTTTAAAGTTACTCAAATTACTCGTTTCCCGGAAATATATTAAAAGATATTGTGGAGATACTTACGTGCGAAGTGAATTTAATTTCAGACAATTTTATTTTCCATCTTTAAAAGGCAATTTCATAGTGAATTAAAGTTAAAGTATTTATTCATATTAATACAAAACGTATAAAAGCTTTGTTAACAGGCTGTAAATATACAATCATGTATAACTATCAGATACTAGCTTGAGCAGTGTTGGCCTACTGGATTCAGCGTG